CTAAAATGTTATTTATACTAAGCTTATAATTGCTACTACAGGTATTAAGTGTACCAGTCCCTAGTGGAAATATAGGTCACCTGTGTAAATGGAGTTTTAAATTTGTACAAGTGAATCCGTAGAGCTAGGGTTTTGAATTGCTTTTTCTGCACCAGTGTGGCTACACTGGTTACTGAAAACCTTAACATTGATGAGGCCTGAGCTATATTCAATGCATTTCCTCCACCAGCTCTTAAAGACTCCTACCGGTATTAGCTACTGAAGAAAACCATACAACAGCACTAAGATAATGTATAACATTTTTGGAAAACTATTGTAATATAGTCTAAACTTGCATCATGGCAACTTTTGTTTAAACTTTTGTTTTGCCACAATGACCTAAACCTCTGCAAACACTTGTTACTCCCTGATAATAAAATGATGATTTTTAACAGAATGACAAAGAAGTCACTAGCTGTACACAGCAGCTACTTACAATAGGTCAGTAAATGTTAAATTTATCTTTGAGTTTTCTGCTGTTTGTATGCGCCAGACGCAGTATGTGAACTCTGGATGAGGTTTGGGGTAGTTGGGGCTGGTCAACGTTCCTTCAGGACTTGTAAGGAGACCCCCACAGTCTTCAGTTTCTGAAAAGAAGGAATAGATAGAAAAGCTAGTAATGACTCATGAAAACAGAAATAAAAACCTAGGCCACAACAGGAATTAACTGTATTATTTCAGGGAATCCTACTTTCAAGGTTGAAGCACCTGTTTAGGTATTACGCATGCAAGCTGCTACATACTCAGGTTTGATGTCAGTTTTAAACTGCTGTTAGGATGTTATCACTTAAGAGCCAAAAGCTTTTAATGAAAATAATATTCAGTGAGGAGATCAATTCATTAATGGAGAAGCGTTCTCTTTTATGCATCAATGCATATTTTTATTAAGCTGAGGTGTACTGCAAAGTACTTGGTCTAGTTTTATCCTGTTTCCATATGAGCTTTGTTGATATTTACTTTATAGTATTGAAGTGAAAAGGATCCAGGGTATGTAAGAACAAAATGTCATTGAGGACAGACTGTGATGTAGGGCACAGTTCTAGGGAAAGGATAAAACACGTGTACCCTAGCATAAAAGGAGATTGGGGAGACACTGGGCACATACACATGTTCATATCTCATAGTGGAAAATTTCCACCACTCAAAATGGTTCTCCAGGAGAGGGAGCAGGCATTCAGTCTGAAATGGCCCGCTCTCTCCTGCTCCTTGTGTTTCCTGCAACTGGGTTGATCTTTGTCTGGGAAAACCATGGGCTGCTCCAGTCCTGCCATTCTTATGCTGGTGACTCTGGTATGAGAAGCCGAAGTAGTTGTAGTCAGGTTATTTTTGTTCCAACACAGTCATTTTTGCTCCAGAATTAAATGACGGAGCATCTGCACACCTGTGGTTTCTACTGGGAGAGCTGTGATTCTCCTGGTAGCAACTAAACATCTGTACATGGCCACTACCTCAAAGAAATGTAACAGTTGACTTGGATATGTTCTATGCTCAAGATTATGCATGGACCTAAAGAGAAGACTTCTGAAGTTGAAGTCTTTTTATTTTGCAGAAAAAGAAGTATCAAAATCCAAAATACAAGCTGCAACTGGAAATGAAGTATACATTTTTAACATGGATAGCTAACCCCTAAACCAATTTGCCTAAAGATGAGGTGCATTTTCTGCAAAAGAAAATTAGCAAAGTCTTAATCCAGCACCAAAGAATCAAAGGAAATTTTACCACTGATGTGATGGAAGCAGGGCCAAGCCCTTAAACAAGACAAAATTTCGTTCTAAAAGATATTCTCTGGTTCAACTTGAAATTATGGCTTAATCCTAGAATGCATGTGGTAAATTAGCAAGATAGGGACATAAGATACTTCCCTCTGCTAATTTTTAAAAGAGGCCTTACATCAGGACAACTCTTGGTGGGCTGAGGAAATCTGGACATGATTCCATTGTGATCCCATTAATATGTTTCAGGGCATCAGCCCAACATTTTGGAGTAAAGCAGAACATTATTACGATAACAGGCAGCATTAAGACAGTGCGATTTCGACTGCTTTTCATACGACTTACTTGAGCCTGGTGGAAAGAAATAATAGAACGCAAAGATGCTCCGTTTAAGGTCCGTGGAATCTGTTGTAACTTGAAAAGATAAACTGTTTGAAGAGGATTCAAATACTGGAACGGAGTCAATATTACTGCATACTTGTCCTAGCAGAGGTGAATTACTTGTGGGGCCATCGTACACTTTAATATTTTCCATTTCACAACTTGCAGAAGGGTCAAGTCTATTAAAACACACATGAATAAATAAGTAGAAGCCTCAACGTAACACTGATTCCATAAGCAATGATGTTCAGAGACAGGAGAGGCCTAACTAGCACTGAATATTCTGAAATTATTGAGTTAGGCTCATTACGTATTTAAAAATTCTTCCCTATAATTATTCAAATGAAATGGAGCAAAGTACTAGGATGGTATTGAGAATGAATACTTACTGAAAATAGGAGAAAATGAGCCGGATGACTTTGTTTTCTGGTCTCTGTATTTTCCAGGTGCAGTTTTCATTTGAATACAGATCAATCGGAAATGCTTTTGTGTCTTCCCCAAGACTGGCACCACACCCTGCTGCATTCAAACAACAAAAAACAAAAAAAGAAAAACACAGCATGTATGGAGTTATCTTGTCTTGAAATTAGAGAACCAGCACTATACAGTGCCACAGTTGTCTAAACCTCTTGGCCTCTATAAACTCAGAGCAAAGACCATGATCAAGTCCTCAGGTAATTTCTCTTGAACACGCTGGAAGAATTACATAATGCCTCTGTAGAGAAGTTGTGTACGCACCAGACATGTAACAGTCAGGTCACAAAGACTAATCCAATGCTTCCCAAAGACAATGGGGAGGTATCTTTTGTGTCCAAGTTATTTCTCTGCTATCCTAAAGTGCCTATTTGCCGTTTTGTGTGTAAAATGCTGGTCACAGAACTAGGTCTCCAAATTGACAATCCAATTGCTATCGTTGTGATTCTAAGTGACCAAAGCTCTTCACTTTAGATACCAATTCAAACCATTACTCTGAGCCCCTTACTTCATGGAGTGTTACAGCTGAAGTACAGGCTTCCACGACATGAATACAATACTCACATTAATATATAAAGCCCAATATCTAAAAACAAAACTAATCTGAAATTTGATTTTCTTGGCAGAGGGAGGCTTACAGCTATAGGCAACAATAAGTTTGGTTTGTTTCATTGGTTATTTACAACTGAAACCTAACAAAAAAGCCAAATATCCATTAATGAACAGCTAACTCAGATCACTAATAGCACAGAAGAATAGGGAATTTTTTTTTTATTTCTTAAATACAGATTAAACAAATATCATTTAACATCTAGCCAAGATTTGCTAGCTAAAATTTCTGAAGCATTTTAAGCAAAAGAGGATTTAAAAATGTTATCCACTTTAGTTTTTCATACCTTGCAAGTCTAGAGAGTTATTTTCAGCAAGAGATGAAGCAATTAATAGAAGCAAGAGAATGAACTGGCTGACCGCCTTCATTTTGAGAACGTTGGTAAGAATATGACCTGTTTGCTAACTCTTTATATACCTTCTGCTATTTCGTAATTGTTCTGTTACATATAATCATCATGTTGTAGCTTTATGTACTTTTTATTTCCTTCAAATATAAGCAGTAGATACCAATGAGAAAGTAACAGGTGTCCTGAACTTTTTGTGCATTGTGGCATGGTTATTGATGAGGCTATGTGTATTTGCTATTCAAAACCTAAAATGTTCAGGTATACTGACTTTTTTACGTAAGCAAATTATAATATTGGACACAATTTTATTGGTATTGGGTCTGGGTTCATTGAAGTTACAAAGCATCTTTCCATTGTCATTGGTAAGCACTGGACTGGGCTTTGTGACATTAATGTTACAAGCCTGGTGTGTATACAACTTCTCTATGGAGGCATTATGTAATTCTTCCAACATGTTCAAGAGAAATGACCTGAGAACTTGATAATGGTCTTTGACCCTAAGGTCACAGAGGCCAAGAGGTTTAGATAGCTGTACCATTTCCTTCCAGTTGGCTGTTTTTGTTACTGCAGGGGAAGAGTATTTCTCCAGAAAATTTCAGAGTGCATGAAATCTTACTTGCAGAGACAATTTTGTGAATAAAGATGTTGCTGTCACTTCCCATTTGCAACTATCTTAACTGTGTATTTGAATGTCATTGACAGGGAGGCAGCTGCAAACTACATAGTTCTTTGTATTAATACAAGTAGGATTGTCTTATTTTTGTTGTCCTATCATTGTCATAAAAACATGAAAAGCTAAAGCTCTGATCCTGCAACAATACTAAACTCCTTAGCCCACATCAGACCTCAGATAACCAGAAGTAACTCATAAAAACAGTAAGTACAAATGAAACTACTCTGTTGAGACTAAGTTCAGTATTGCATTACTCAATTTACCTGAAGTCTTGCTGAGAAACACACTGGCAATGAGGAGGTTCCCAGGATCATGGAAGAGTATGTCTTGGACCAAACTAAAAGGAGACCAAGGACAGTACAATTTTTGACGGTCTTTCTTCTAGGTAGGCTTGGAACTACACACAAAGGCAATATGGGAAACTTCACTGAGCAGTATATGGTGGGGTTTTTTTTAGAGGATACTGGAGCACATTCAGGCCTGTTGGCATTGTACCTTGATGGAGTGCAGGCCATTAATGTTTTCTCCCTTACCAAGCTGTGAAAACATCTTCAGTCTATGAGGTCTTCCATAATTCACACCTGAAGCACCACACACTTCAAAGAGGGCAAGAGTACTACAGGAGGTGGATGGAGAATAATAGGAATCCACAGTTTATGCCTTAGCCTGATTTCAAATAGTCTGAAGATAACCAGAAGATAACTGAGATTTCAGAGGGTTTACAAAGTTTTGATCACATGTCGCATCACTGCTCAGACCATATCAGATGAAGTATCTCTTTTGAATCTCAATGTCTCCATAGGTCAGGTAACCCTGCTCATTAATTGGCCAGCTGCGATGTGGGTTGTAGATGCTGGGGTAGGCAGGCTTTGTTTGATGGATGTGTTTGAACATGGCCTGTCCTTGGACAGGCTTCGTCTGGGGCAGGTAACATAGCTTATCCAGCTGTTGACCTGGCCAGAATCTATTGTTTTCAGTCTTGCAGTAATGGGTAGATGTCACTGGCAGTTGCCTGCAAAACAAAATATGGTCAGTCATCAACTACAGATTTAGCTAATGCCTTTTACTTAACCAAATCAAACTGCTACCCAGAGACCTGAGGAAGGATCCTGTGGTACCCAAAAGCTTATCTGTGATCTTCCCAACTACACAGTTGATCTAATAAGAGAGATCACCCACAAAAATCCTTCACTTCTTTCATTTTTCCTGGACCATCATGGCCAGAACATCACCCCAAATTGTTGCTAGTCATTTTCCCTGCTTCTGTTCAATGGTGGATGGAAGTTGGACAAGATTCATGTCACTTCTAGTCAGCAACTCCTAAGGCTTTCTGGGGCCCTAGCTCCAGAGAACTTTGCTATACTAACTCATGCAGATGCCCAGTGAAATTATTGTTACATAGATTTGTTAGAGCCCAGTGAGAAGGTGCTCAGGAATGTTCTACCATATGCTGCTTGCCTACCTTCCCTGAAGTCAGTCTTACCTAGACCACTAACGGTCTGGACTTCACTGTAGACCCAAATATCATTTTGATGTCAAAATAGGGCTGGTCCTTCCTTTCTGTAGTTTATTACCATGAGAAAAGCTAATTTGAAGAGCTATCAGTCTCAGGGGTTGTCACGGTGTTCATCATTATGGGATTGAAGCAAGAGGGCATTAAGAAAGGGAAAAGTATATGTTACCTTTCCATTCTGTTTCTCCTCAGCCCTGCATCTGATGCTCTGCTGGTTCTGAAGACGTCCTTGGCTGTCCCAGTCTGGATCTCAGGAAATCTTACCCTTTTTTTCTTCCCTCTAGAGCTCTTCTTAGCGGGACTGCAAAATTCAGAATACATTTAGAACAAGCAAAGAGTCTTCTTCTTTTTAAAAAGAAGTTATCAGATAGTTTAGGCCCTAAGCTTAGGTTTTAAGAGCGCTTTATTTTCCAAAAAGTAAGCATATACAAATGGCACAATGAGGGTTTGACTTGTCTCAACCATTTCAAGGTCAAATCTGCTCAGTCTAATGGAAGGCTTATTGGGGCTAAGAGTACAACTTGGGACTTGAGAAGAGAGCTAGATCTGTGGGAGTTTCTGCATCTTTCACAGCAAGAAATATCCTACACTTGGTTCTTGCACTTGGCTCCTGAGGAGTTTTGTGGATAACAAGTCAGAACACAGTCCACAGACCAGGTCACTCATGACAGACTCACAGTTCTAGGGATAGGTGGCACATGAGCACCCCAGCTATCTAAAAACTGGTCCCTTTTCTTGTCCCATATCAAGACCATCCATTCTCATGGCGCACCCATGAGGAAGACCCTTGAAGAAACCATTTGGAGGATGAGTTCCAATTCCCTTCTAACCAGTATCTCCCTCCTTCCCTGCTAATATTATACCTAGTGTGGTGCAAACCTTTGGAATTGCCAGTAAACTTCAGGTGTAATCCATACGGGCTGGTCGTCATCTTCTTCCAGATCTGTATCATATGGTCTAGCCAAGAATGCAAAACAACAGTCATTTACAAATAAAGAACACACCATGATGTAAAGTTCAATCATTTCAGCCATTTCAAGGCCAAATCTGCTCAGTCTAATGGAAGGGTTATTGGGGCTAAGAGTGCAACCCAGGACTTGAGAGGATAGCTAGATCTGTGAGAGCTTCTGCATCTTCCACAGCAAGAAATATCTTGCAGGTGGCCCTTGAACAATTTTGTGAACAACAAGTCAGACCACAGTCCACAGACCAGGTCAGTTATGACAGTCACAGTTCTAGGGATGGGTGGCACATGAGCACCCCAGCTGTCTAAAATATGGTCCCTTTTCTCGTCCCATGCCAAAACCATCCATTCTCATGAAACATCCATGATGAAGACCCTTGAAGAAACTACTGATGACTCTGAAACTCATGCTAAGCTTAGGCCTACTCCCAAAACTTAAAATACAGAATAATAATGCTAACTGCATATTGCAAGAGGATGCAAGTTCATGGCTAGGCCATCTAAGAAGGAATAATGAAGTATTTCTTCCAGCTTATCTTGCTATATTCAGAATCATTTCAAGCAGACTCTTAGTTGTCTGGTGTGTAACCATATGAAATGTCTATCCTTGAGTAATTAGTATGGAAAATATTTCTTTTGTGACTAACTCGTGTTTATGTGCAGGAAGAGACATTCTCCATACGTAATAGATGTCTCCTCCTGATTTAGTATGTTTTCCTGGCTGTTAATCAGTTTCTTGATATGTTTCAAATGGGATAACCTCTTGTTACCGAAGAAGGTAACTCATTCAAATTAAAAATTTCTGATAACCAGTAATGAGCAGGGTTTTCCTGTCAAGTACTGCTTGGGACTCTTTCTTGATTTACACAACTAAAAGAATGCTTTGAAGATGCTAAGCTAAGGGTATAAAAAGGCAGTAAAACAGCAAACAGCACGCACGCTTCAAGAGTGAGAAATCTCTCTGACACCAGTTGCTGATGCGCCCGACTTACTCGAGACGTTGAAGAGAAACAGACCACCTCTTCGTCGCCTGTTTGGTGAGAAATCATCACCTTATAGCTAATTACTAGACTTTGATTTGGTTTGGGCTCACTTGACTTGATTTTAAATACTTATAGTAAATAAAGCCTTTCTGTCACTCATCAAACGAGGTGTCGTGTCAGTCCCTGGGCTAGTCCAGAATCCTAGGTTTTTATTGCTAACAACTACTTTGAGGAAGATGAGTTCCAATTTCCTTGTAGCTAGTATCTCCCTCCTCTCCTGCCAATATGCTAACTGCTATTGCACAAACCTTTCTAGCGCATATCTTTTAGATGACACCCACATGGATTGTTCTTCATATTGTTTCATCTGTATATCTTCTAGTCTAGCCAAGAATGCAAAACAACAGTCATTTACAAATACAATAAACAGCTCAGACTGGGGGCTCTTTGGGAAAACATGAATTTTTCTACATGTTATATGATAGCAGGTGAATCTGTGAACCTCTAATACTGATAATGGATAATCGTTCATTGGGGAAACATACTGCATATGTAAGTCCATGGGCTAGACATCCTGTTCCAGGCAGGTTTCCACACTGCACACAACTCTATGCTGCACAGGAAGAGTTGGCATCTGTGCAGCATTCTTCAGGTTCAAAGCACTGGACTAATGACCTATTACTCCCAGAAGGAGGGTGGGTATGTCACATTAGTTTCCATTTGCAATCTTGTGCAGTGACATTGATGTAACTGAGAGGAGAGAATAGTTCATGAACCATCATGATCTGCCCCCGGGAATGTCCAGGTGTTTCATACCAGCACATTCTCCCCCACCCTGCCGCTCATCAGCTGCTATCTCATGTCTCACCAGAAGGGACAAAGAGAAGAGATTTAAAGGTGACAGCAACAGTTTCTCCACTCTAGGGGCCCCCGTATTTCTCTCATTTGCATCCATGTGAATGGAGTAACTGCAGGGAAGTCACTGCAAGTGCCCAGGGGGTTAAACTAGTGCCCACGACAGGAGAATTGAGCATGCTGTTTGTAGGGTCTCCCCTTGGGCCACAAGGGCCAGCTGTGAAAATGTCATGGGAACCAACATGGCTTCTGGCTCTAGCATCCACATGCAGTAAGACAGAACCCAGGACCAACATTTTTCCCTGCTTTCCTAAACCTCCCCAATGTCTGTGAGCATCTTGTACCAGCACTGCTAAAAATGATTATACAGCCAGTTGCAGGGTCCATTTGTGTTGGGCATGTTACATGCCATGTACAACCTAGACAGGCTCTGCCCCCAGAGGGTCTCATGGTTGGAGAGACAGGGGCAGGAGAGGAATAAAGGCACAGAAGAACAAAGGGTTTGTCCCAGCTCCCACAGCTGAGCAGCAGCAGGGCTTGCAAGAGAAGTCAGAGTGCTGTGCAGACAAAATGTTTATAAGGCACCAGTGTAAACAGAGTAGTGGGCAGATGACATGAGCACCCTAACCTAGGGTAACTTTTCACCAGGGCACCTGTTTGTTAAGACTACTAGAAGCTCCCCTGCCACCTTGTAGCAAAGTGCAGTAACAGCTGTGTGCTGTGGGAGCTTCTCTAGAATAGCTGCTCCTCTCTCGAGGAGGCAGTTAACATAACTCTGCCTGGGGGATGTGCCTGCCTGTCCATGCCCCAAGCCTGCTGGTTCTTGCCTTCCTTCTAGATCCCATAGGTGCTGGGACCGTGTGCTATGATGAGAGAGGATCTTTAAAAAAAGTGGATCCATGCCAATGGCACAGTGAGAGTCTGACTTTACATCTCAACCATTTCAAGATCAAATCTGCTCAGTCTAATGGAAGGGTTTTTGGGGCTAAGAGTGAAACCTGGAACTTGAGAGCTAGATCTGTGGGAGCTTCTACATCTTCTGCAGCATCTTCCTGCACTTGGCTCCTGAAGAGTTTTGTGGATAACAAGTCAGAACAGAGTCCACAGACCAGGTCACTCGTGACAGACTCACAGTTCTAGGGATAGGTGGCACATGAGCACCTCAGCTATCTAAAACCTGGTCCCTTTTCTTGTCCCATGTCAAGACCATCCATTCTCACGGAGCACCCACGACAACGACCCTTGAAGAAACTACTTTGAAAAGAATGAGTTCCAATTCCCTTCTAGCCAGTATCTCCTTCCTTCCCTGCCAATATTTTACACTGTTACACAAACCTCTCTAGCTCATCTTGTTCAGATGAAATCCAGGTCTTCTGCTTCTCATCTTGTTCCCTCGGTGTATCATATGGTCTAGCCAAGAATGCAAAACAACAACCATTTACAAATAAATGAACACACCATGGTATAAATTTCAGCAGTTCAGACTGGGGTCTATGCGAAAACTGTCATCTTCCTACAAATGACTACAGTAGCAGAATAACTCCTCCCCAGGGCAGCTGTTTGCTAAGGATATTACAAGCCCCCCTGCCACCTTGAGGCAAGATGTAGTAACAGCTGCCTGCTGCAGAAGCTTCTCTAGAAGAGCTGCTCATCGGTCCAAAAGGGGGTTAGCATTACTCCACCTGGGGGATGTGTCTTCCTGTCCGTGCCCCAAGCCTCATGGCTCTTGCTCACCCCCGCTAGAGCCTGCAGTTGCTGGGGCTGCATGTTGCTATAAGAGTGATCTTAAAAAAACAACAAAGAAAGCCTCTTTGAACAAACCCATATATTGCCTCCTCTTCCACTCTCCAGAAGCGTTTTAATGCACCTCCGCCTGTCCAAGGGTGCGCCTGGAAGGTTCCTCCACTGGGTATAGGGTTATAGTAAGCTCCTGGCTGCCGGATCTTTAACATGTGTTTTCCTTCTTTTATTATTCTGTCTCCTGGGTGCAGCAGGACTGTTAGCAAAAACACAATCAAACCTCAGGGCTAGCAACAGTGGCCCACAATGTGCTGAGCAGGCTGGGGGGGTACATCAGTGCTTGGTGTCTGATGCAGGACACTGTGAAAAAGCTCCTCCCTGCCAGCACTTTAGTCCTGATCTACAGCTCTCCTGCTCAGCCAGTCCTGCCCCTCTCTGCCCAAGTCCATGCAGCACCTTCTTCCCCTGCAAAGTTAGCTGCTCTTCTGATCCACATCCCCTCCATACAGCTGTGCAACCAGCAGGGCAAGGGGGCTGTTTTCTACTTAAACTACTTACTAGGTTGGGATTGGCCCTCAATGTTTACAAACAGGTACAAAAAGGGTACAATACTGGTACAAAAAAGGTTGAGAACCACTGCCTTAGAGAATACCCACATAAACCAGGCATCTGGGCTGGGGAAGAAACTTCAGCCTGCATCATTTAGCACATTCACACCCAGCCCTGGGTTTTCCTTTACCTTTTGCCAATGTGTCCTCAGTGACTGGGATATTTTGCTCTTTGCACAGCTTGACACACCGTACATAGCTTCGGTGAGCTACCTGCCGATAGCGGTTAATCGATTCTGCTACTTCCCCCTCCATCATGGATGGCAGGCAGTGGTCATCAACAGCTCTATCTCCAGATCTCACCAGCCGACACTGCTCTGCCCATTCAAGTGGATTCACTGTCTTCCACACCTAAAGGGGATGTTTCTGTTAATGCACTTAACAAGCCCAAGGAGGTAAATGAGCCAGCAGGCATCACCCCCTCTTCAAGAGGGAGTGATGCGTGCTGGTGCCAGTCACAGAAGCCAGGACTCCATTCGCACTGCTGTGACAATGCTGCTGGCCAGAAAGCAGAATGGCCAAGACTTCAGGACATGTCCTTGTTTTGAAAGCAGGTTTAGGTCTTCAGAAAGCAGAAAATATTTAGAGTTTCCTGTGATCCGTGGCTTTTTCCTGCTGGTGTTTCCTAAACTAAACCTGTTCCCTGAACCTGCTGCTTAGTGAAAATGTGAATCTGCCAGGATCAGCTTCATTGAGGAGCTACCTGGTCCTCAGGGAATTTGGCTTGAGCTACAGCCAGGGCTCCCGGGATCCTGACTTCTCTGCTTGAAAGTCCACATACATCTCTGCTCAGGAGCCACATTCCCTGGAAAGCCATGCTTCCCTACTCTGGGGTGGCCCATTTGTTCTGTCCTGAGCCATGGCCCCTGGAAGCAGTGCCCTGAAGTGCCCCTGGCTCTGAGGCACTATATAGTCTGTGTTGGAGCTGTGGACCTGGCAGAACAGATGGAGTACCTGCTAGAAATCCAGGCACGGTTCCATGGGATGCTCGTCTTGGCTTCCACGACAGTTTACTGAACCCAAGATGTTTCAGACAAAGCCCTTTCAGCTCAACTCACTGGCATTTACCTTTTCTAACACATCCAGCTAGTTTTGCTATGACTTCTGTCCCAGGGGACTCTGCAAGCCAGGACTCTAATGAGCATCTCCCAGGGACCAATGTAGCTTGGGGTGAGGCGCTAAATCAGAGAGTCTGAAGAGCTGTTTCATATGTTTCCTGGGCCTTCTTGTGCCCATCTTAAAAAATAAAAGGAACAGAACTACTTTCCTGTCTCACAGGGTTCTGGGTAGCAGGTCTGAGACCTTGGTTGATTGTAAAGGGAATGAAGATCCTCAGGGGAGGGGGACTGTACATCAAAGGGACAGCAAACACACTCTACCTTCTTCAATCGCCTCCACTCTCGATAGTGCTTGCCAACCTCCTCCATGTCTTCATCTGTCATAGGCCTGCACTCTTCAGTGTTGACAGGAGGAACTTCTAACAGTGTTAACTTGTCCAGCTCTGCGGCAGGGGTCACTTCAACGGTATAGGCAGTAGCTTTCTCAAGAAAATTGAGGATACGTTCTATAGAGTGACAGGAAACAGGGAAACCATGCTCTGATGTAGCAGGAAGAAATAGCTGAGCTGATCAAAGCTCAGAGAGGGACCCTCAGCTGGGACCCTCCAGGTCTCCTGGAGTTTTGCTTCCAGATTTGAAACTAGACCCCAATTTTCTATCCTGGGCCAAGCTCTAGACTGGAAGGATTGCTCACAACACTCCACTGCTTTGCAAATAAGGAAGGAGTAGCTGAATCATGGGGAAAATACTTTGCTACTAATGGTAGGACTTGATTCACTGTCTCAAAGAATTGGAAACATCACTGTCCATGTACTAGGAGTGAGGGAACTGAGTCACACAGAAAAGCACTGCCAGGAACAGAATTTGTATCTCCCGACCTCCCATCTAGTCCCCTTTCTCCTGGACTGGGTTGTTTCCCAAGTCTCTTTTAGGGATAACTCATTTAACAGTAGATAACAGGATGTTACCAGGGAGTATTTCTGTATGTTAACAAGATAACAGAGTATGCCTCAAAATGCCCAGTGACGGAGGAGCTAAGTGCTTGAAGGGGTGAGGGGGGAACATCAGAAAAGACCTCTGAAAATTTTTGCAGCATCTTGGATTTCACTGAAAGCTATCCAAGTGTGGCCCAAATATTACAATGCATAACTGGCTGCCAGAGTTTGTAGAGAGCCTGAAATGCTTGCTCTAAAGTATGAACCAGTCAGTTCATTTCAGTGGCTGGTAACTCAGGAACCAAGGGTGAGATTCAAAATGTCATCTTTATTAATTATTTCAAAGCATATGAGAAAGGAGAGGAAGGATCATACCATAAAAATTTAAAATATGAGTGAGCCTTTAATAAGTAAAGAAAGGCCCTCTTAAATGGGGCCTTGACTTGGAAATGCTGCTTTGCTAGCAAAAAAGCAATTAGTGTAACAGAGTAGCTATAAAACTTTTCTGCTTTCTCTGACAAATCTAATACATGCCACTGGACTAACTCTCTTCCCACTAGCGCTCCCATCTCCGTACCTTCATGCCTTTCCCTGATATAATTTTGCAAGGCTGGCATCCACATCCTCTGACACTTGACGATATCATCACTGCGTATAAAATGCCTGGGCTTTGGTGCTGATGTAGTAAGATAGATGAATGCATCTTCCAGCTCCTTATCAGTGATAGGGACGCCAGTCTGGCAACAACAGAAAGAGGCTATAAACATGCACGCCAAAGACTGGTTACAGACCAGCAGGGAAGAGTTGTGGGATCGCTCCGTGCCTGCTGACCAGGATGGTGGTCTGGGAAAGAGAAGGGGAGTGGGAATGCAGATCCGTGTGTTCTAGTCCTTGCTTTACCAAGGAGATGCTGTGTGACTTTGTGCATGTGCTGTAGTCACATCTACACAGGTTATGGCGGTGCTTCCCCCAGGGGTGGTCAAGGCCAAGATGCACCTCAGTGTGAATAAGCACAACTGAGGGCCTGAAGCAGCATGTTTGAGAGCATTGCTGCTGGGTGTGGTACATTTCTTGTGCAGAAGTGGCTTTTGCATCTCTGGGCCTCAGTTTCTCCATCTCCAAAATGGCTCTGTTGTTATTCCATGTGGTGGCTATACCCAGAGGACTCCCAGCTGGGGTTGAGGCTCTGGAGTGGGGGGCACTGTACAAACCCTTTGTAAAAGACAGTCCATAGGCAAAAGGTGGAAAGGAAAAAAAGTGAAACAAAGTGAAGTGATTTGCAGAGATCAGGTCAGCCACAGAGGCAGGACTAGAATCCAGCTATCCTGAATCCTGATCCACCACCCCAAACCACTGGCACACACTTGCCTCTTTGGTCACCCAGACTTGCCTCACCTCATGGGTTTTGAAGGCTAATTAATGGTCTGGGAAGCCTACTGTTGTCAGGGCAAAGTCAGACTGCTGTGAAAATTAGCACAATCAGCCAAGCAGCCCAGCTACTGAGCTGTGAACTTCTATGGATTGCATGACTACCTTCCATTCCCCACTGAGATGCGCTCTAGATGTCTCTTTGGGTATCCAAATATCCCCCAGAGTCTCTACTTCCCCACTCCTGCAGACTCCCCCAACCCTTCCCCAGGGATCAGATCAATTTAACCAGGAGTGTTGGGAGAGGAACCACTAGAAGAGGAGCTCTTCCTGTTAAGGATTCATCCCTTATCATTGGCTTCAGCAGATTTATATCAGTGGACCTGGAGCAACATTTCTGTGGTGTGTGCGCAATCTCTTCTCTACTTACCGCCTGTATAACTTTAAAGAATTCTTCTCTTTTGATATTCTTACTTGTCATCTTTGACTTTTTGAATAAGTCTACCATCCTGAGCTTCTTTTTGCGCAGAAGGTAGAGCAGCAGTACGAGGGCTTGAGGGTAGGGAATACTGATCACAGGGACAATGCCTTTCCGACAGGACTGGCGGCTCTTGGGTGGTGGGGGCTGAAAGAGATAGAAAATTGGAAATAAAGCACAAAATCAGCATCCTCTACATGATGACGTTCACCTGATTTCCTGGCCCAAGTCTGAGAGCACTTTGGGGTACAGAGATATAGTTATCAGTTGGTGGAAATGGCATCATTCCATTGCTGCTATGGGAAAGATGCTGACTTCTACCAGCTGATGACTTGGCCTGATTTTTCCTGTACCCATCAAGTTAACCTTATTCTGGATGTTGTCCTTCCTCAGAGGCCTCCAGAAGGAAAGGGAACTCCTAGGATTGGGGGCAATCCTATGTCTAGGGTTGTTCCTGCCTACTCCCAACACCCCTGTTTCTCCATGTGGACCTTGAATAGTGCAGGGCTGCAGATGGAAGAAGCTAGGATAAGGCTGGAGCATGAGGGGAGCAGGGGTTTAGTGAGGAGGCAAAGGACCTCCAAATGGATAGCCATAGACCCAGGGGATCTCTGAAGAGCCCGGGCATTTAGGCATAGACCATGGAGGGTGTAGCTCAGGGGCAGGCAAAATACAGCCCATGGGCTGGATCTGGCATGCTATGCAATTTCATCTGGCCCATGGGTGCCCACCAATTAATTGTACCCCATCCAGCTTGCATGCTTCGTTCCCACCATCCCACACAGGAGGGCCCTAGCCAGCATGCACAGCATCTGAGCAGGGCTGCTGCTGCCACTGCTGCAACTGCCAGGGGACCTGCTTGGCTTCCCTGGCCTCTAGCAGCTCCTGCTCCTGTCTCTGCTATAGCACTCGCTCCAGGCAGCAGGTAGGGAAGCTGCAGATGGGTGGGAGTGTGGAGCATGGGGCTGGTGGAAGCGTGGAGCCCAGGGCCCACTCCCAGCGGGGTGGTGGTAGCTCAGAGCTTGGGAGGGCAATGTGTGGGTGTGTGAGGGAGGGTGGGGGGTGTGGGGGACCCCCCCCCACCC